AGCGAGGGGGCACAACTCCAGGGCGGGCGGGCGGTGATGAGCCTTCGGTGCTTCGCTCCCTTCCTCCATCGCCTTCTCCTCACGCGCACTGAATCCCCCCGCCCCCCATCAGCTTTTCAGGGATCAGTCTGCCGACAGGTTGGTCACCCCGCTCCTGGGCGAAGGGCTTTTCCTGCCGCTCTTCCAGTTCTGTGGGTGCTGGTGGGGGTCTCAGCCCAGCCATGGAGGGATCGGTGGGAGGGGGTTGTTACGGGGTCTCTGCTTGGAAGCTGTCGCACCGTCGGTAGGATTTTTTCCGAAAATGGGGCAGTGAAGGGGGAGAGATGTGAGGAAGCAGAAGCTGAGTCGAGCGCTGCCTTTCTCCAAGCAGAGCGCAGGCGTTCACGGTCCACCTCGCGGGAGAGGGAGAGGAGGCGAAGAGAGCGATCGCGGTCCCGGGACAGGGACAGGAGGAGGAGCCGTTCTCGCTCCCCGCACAGGAGACGGTCCAGGTGAGGGGCAGAAACACCAGCACCGGGGTGGGGATGAGCTAGAGAGCCCAGCCGAGGGCAGCAAGGGGCTGGTGGGAACTCGTGAACGTTGTAAAACTGTCTGCGGTAACGGCACAGCTGGGAAGCTGCAAACCCCCTGCGTTTGCAACGTCAGGTCACCGAGACGGCACCGATCCAGCTCCTCGTCCCCACCACGGCTGAAGGAGCGGCGGGATGAAGAGAAGAAGGAGATAAAGGACTCCAAAGGCAAAGAGCGTCAGATCACAGGTGAGGGGGTGGATTTTCCTCGCTAAATACATCACGGGTTCCGCGTTTGGGTTGGGACCAGCCCGGGGGACACGCAGGTGCTTAATTAAAATGCTTTTGATGAACCCTAGCGACTGTGTTTGTTTAACTCATTTATTTGCCTCTGCAGAGGAAGATTTGCAGGGCAAGACAGAAGAGGAAATTGAGATGATGAAAACAATGGGGTTTGCCTCTTTCGACACAACGAAAGTGAGTGTGGGTCAGCTTGGTGGAGCCCACAACTGCCTTCGGTGGGCTTGGTGGTGTCACTGTGCCCTTTTTGGGGGTAACATGCTGAGTTTTGTGACCTTTTTTCTTGATGTCTTTCAGGGGAAGAAGGTGGACGGTGCCGCAAATGCATACGCCATCAACGTGTCCCAGAAGAGGAAGTACAGGTTTGTGCCCAGCCGTTTTTTTGGGTAGAAAGAGAATTTCTTTGACGAGATAACGCAGCGTGGAGGAAACTCTGCGGCCGTACAACGAAGCTGCTATCTCTCAGTGTGTGCAGGGGGGGAGATCTGGCTTCTCAGGCCTTCAGAAAAAAGCAAAGTTTGCTGGTTTTACTGTCAAACAGAGGTAAGAGGCCTCTGGTTTCTCCTGGAAGTGGTGAAAGCACAGAGACGAGCAGCAAAAGCACGTTGCCTGCGGGCAGGATGAGCCAGGTTTGGCCTGAGCGGAATTGGAGCAGTGGGCCTGCTTAAGCAACACTGTTTCCGTGTTTCTTACCAAAAAAAACCCAAACCCACCACTCAGTTTATCAGTTCTGTTCCCCTTTTGATGGAAACTGGAGCGTACAGCTTGGCTGTGCTGCCAGGCTTTGGCTTTTAGCCAGATGGGCCCAGACCTGGCGAGAGCCGAGCCCAAACGAGACGCCTCCTGGCTGGGGGGTTCCTGCCCTCGTTTGTGCAAATCTGCGGGGAATTTGATTCCCCACGGCCACTGAGCACGTTTACGGGGTATTTTTGGGTGGATTTCTTCAGCGGTGGGAGCCTCGCAGGGTTTTGTCCCTGCGCTGATGCCGGTTCCTCCCCTCCGGCTGCAGGCAGTACATGAACAGGAAAGGAGGATTCAACAGACCCCTGGATTTCATCGCGTAACGCTGGGGGAGAACCACGCGCCGAGAAGGACGTCGCTTCCTGGTGTGGGCAGCTCGGAGACCAGATTTCGGAGGAATTTGGGGTTATTCCCAACAAATCCTGCCGTGCTCGCCCTGCCCCGCAGCCAGAGCGGGTACAAGTCACCATTTCCTGGAGTCTTTGGTTTTGTTGTTTGTTTGTTGGGGTTTGTTTGGTTTTTTTTGCAGTATCCTTCGTGGTTTATTCCTCGCTGGGATTTCGTTGTATTTTTCCTGTTGTTTTTTGACACGCCCTGTTCCCCGTTACAATAAAACCCTGTATATATTTTTCCTTTTATTTTTGTAGTTCAGGAAATAAAGTGGGGACGAGGAGGCTGCCGGAAACCTCCACCTGGTTGTTTCCCTTGTGGTTGCATGTTCTGGGGACTCGACACCCCAAAACGTTTTAGTTCCCGTGTCGCACAAGTACGTGTGAATTTGTACAAATAAATTAAAACACAGTTGCTGCAGCAGCGCCCATTTGGGGCCTTCTGTTGCAGAAAACCACTTTATTTTTTTTGTTTTCTTATTTTTCAGCGGCCCAGCTGGGTGTTTTCGGACCTGAAAACTTGCTTCTTGGCTTCCATCTTTTGCTAATTAATGTCTTTTGCTAATTAATTAACCCCTGGTTTGCCCCA